GCCGCGCCGCGCTCCGCCCGCCGCCTGTGCGCGCGTCCCGGCCCCGGCCCCGGCCCCGGCCAGCTGCGGCTCGCTCCTCGGCGCGGCGCGGCGCGCCTCCACGCTCGCTAGGTGCGCTCGCATTTAAGGTGGACGGGCGGAGATCGCGGCGCCCTTCTCGCGGCCCGCGGCGATCCCGTCCTGAACGTGCGGAAACCAGGCCGTGGGAGAAGAAGGGGCGCGGGAGGGAGAACGGGGAACCGCGCGCGGGGAGGGCGGTCCGAGTTTCGGAAAGCTCCCGCGCCAACCTTTCCATGGAGTCTCCAGCCGAGCTCTTATGATAGCAGGGAAGGTGTGGCTTAAATATGTTAATAGCGGAGGGGGTTGGGGGAGCGGGGAGGGAGAGACTGACTGTTGACCTATATTTGGAAAGAAATCCATTTTCACTGACTGGATGCCAGCTACCTCTGCAGGTAGTTCGGAGGAACTCCGGAACCAGGAAGCTCGCGGCGCGCGCGGGGTGGGGTGGGCGGCTGTCTGGGGAGGGGCTGACTGCTTGCGGAATCTCCCGATGAACAAATTAGCTATCATTAAGGAGGATTAGAATAATGGTTAGCGTAAGGAAGGGGTCGTTGGTGAAGGGAAAAGAGTTCAGGTTCTTGTTTTAAGCCCCTTTCAACCAATATGCGTGACGTTAGGTGCGCTTTAATGATGATGGTGACGATGAGGATGATGATGATACTGATACTGATATTAACGGTCACGCATCCGATGCCCTCCTTCTCCCAAGTAGCCGTGATGCAATGCCGGCTCAGTTACTTGTCCCTCCCCCGCCCCCCATGGGGGAACAGGTCTGGCGCTGCGCATCCTGAGGAAAATCGATGGGTCGTGCTGTGTTCGGGCGCAGTTGCAGAAGAGCGATTGGCAGGGCGATAATTCTAATGCCAATACTCACGGTGACGACAGTGCTTTTTATTTAAATAAATAATAAAAACGAGCGCCGCAGGCAGTCGGGCATCCTCGCCAGCAAAAGCTTGCCAGGAGCCACTGAGGGCGAGGTGGCTAAACTCACGTGTTGTTAACTGTTGTTATTTGCACGCATAAAATAAGTCGATGCCGGGGGGGGGGGGGAATAAGCCATCCGTGTCACCCGATCGGCGAGGTCCAAGAGGGTCGCTTGGGCGTGTGGGGGAAGGGGGCAAGATGCAGCCAGAACCAGCTAACCAACTCGCGTGGGTATTCCTGCACCGATCACCCCCATCGACCCACGCCTCCCTTCCCTCTTCCCCTCCTGCATCCCACCAAGGAGACCGGACCGTATCGATGCAAGGCACCCACCCTCGCGCACCACCCGCCTGCAAACTTCCTGGGGGACCGGTTTTGTGTGGGTCCCCACGGAGGAGACCGATCGACACTTAAGGAGTAGGAAAGCGGGGTGGGGGAGCAGGCGAGGAGGAAGGCAGGGCGAAAGCGCGAGCGGGGATGCTGTGATGGAGATGCCTTGACGCTCCCACCGCTCCTAAGCCCCCCCCCCCGCGAGAACGTCTGAACGGGGCGGGCGGTGTTTTTCTGACCTGTGTCATCAGCCTGTCGGCTCCCGTGTTCTCCTCATCCTTGAAAATAATGTCCGGGTTGTAGTTCGGGGTCAGCTCCTTGAAGCGCTCCGAGGTCCTGCTGATCTTGCCCTCGTACCTCCCGCTGGCGCCCAGGGTCTTCTCTGCCACGTTGGGAATGAACTGCTTGTAGGCCAGCGGGGTCAGCTTCTTCGGGTGCCGCCTCTTGCCAAACCCCCTGCCCGGCCCGCAGGCCAGCCCGGAAGAGAGGAGCAGGGCGCCCAGGAAGACTATCAGCCCAGCTTTTCCCCGGAGCGGCATTCCGGCCGCGGGGGAGGCGGCCGCTCGTTCCCCCCGCGCCACGCCGCCCTGCTTCCCCGCCGGCCGCGGCGCGTGTCCTCCCCGCGCTCGCCGCCGCCGCCTCCCGGGAGAGCCGCCGCCGCGGTCTCGCCGAGCGCTCGCCCCCGGCCGCCGCGCCGGGGATGCTACCCCCCGACTCCGCGCAGCGAGACAGGTGCTGGAACGGCGGCTTCGAGGTCGAGGCTGGCGATAACGGGACTCATCGGAGTTCGGATCGTGGCACGGAGAGCCCGCGGTCTCCGAGGGAGGAAGAAAGGAGAAGGGAGGGAGGAAGGAACAGAAAAGGGGGAAAGGGAAAGGGCTCGATTCGACTGCGAGCTCGGCTAGCAGGGCTTATGCGAGGCGCCTGCCTTTGGTTCTATATTATAGCTGCCCGTGCCGGGTTCTGATTGGCCGAGGCGAGGGAAGCTGCCTTCTGATGGATTAACCCTGAAGAAGGCAAAAAACAACAACAACCCAAAAAATCTTGGAAGATCTCTCTCTCTCTCTCTCTCTCTCTCTCGCTGCTCTTTGTAACCTGAAGGGCTTGGAAATGGAAGGGGTGGAGACACCGCTTTCTTGGGATAACATCAATTACATATTGCAACGCTTTGCTTTTTTCTTTCGCTCCTCTTAAACTTTTTTTTTTTTTTTTCCTGGCAGGAGGGTGCATTTGGCAGCAGGAGGAAAGCGCGTGGAATATGGGTGCATGTGGATTTGAATGGGGGCGAGACTTCTTGAAACGCGCGTCTTTCTGCGTGTCTGTGATTCTGTCTGCCCGCCCGTCCAATGAAAGGGACACAATAGCTGGAAACTCCAAACCCAGACAATTAATATCTGGCGAGGCGTTTTGCAAAAGGTGGGGCGGGGTGTGGGAAAAATAGAGACAGCACGCGCTGGTGCGGGTTTGGAGGGCTGGGCAGACCGGCCTGCGAAGGAGGCCGGCCAGCTCCGAACCGACCTGTCCCCACCGCGCGGCGGCGGGCGCTCAGAGAAATCGAGGAAAAAGACCAGAGAATACATCTTTCCACGCATTCCCTCTTCCGGCGGGCGGGGGGGGGGGGTCACACGGTGTGGCTGGCCAAGGTGCAGATGCTGTAGCCTCTCTGAGCACGCAGGGCAACGAAACCGGGGCAAAGCGCACAGCCCGTGCGTGGAAATCCGGACAGACTGCGAGCACGTTTGCGTTTCTTTGCAGCGCATTCCTACCTACTTCAGCTCAGGAGTAAGTTCGAGAGAGCAAATTGTTCAGTTGAGCAAGGCTGGGTGACCCTGCAACTCTAGGCCTGCCCTTACTCCCAGGCAACACGCTTTCCTGAGAATAAGCCCTCTGAACTCCACGAGGCTTCCTTCTGAGTAGACACGTGTCTACTTGTCTACCCAAGTCCGTCCGTCCTCTTGAAAGAAGCGTCGGAGTCACCAGCGGTGAAAGGCGCGGAGGGGGCTGCGCTAAATGTTAATTTATTGTTATCTCCCGCTGGCTGGCAAGTGATGGCTTCATTCCGACCTGCAAAAAGCTCCTGGTCAGACACAGGTGCTGCCAGGCAAGCAAAGTCGCGAGGAAATGGAACTGATAAGGCGCCTTCAACAGCAAAAGGGCCAAACTTCTGCAGGTTTGCTACTGGCAAACCTGTTGCGCTTTCCTTTCCTTTCCTTTTTTTTTGTGGGGGTGGGCCTCTGAAGGAAAATGTGATTGATTGATTGATTGATTGATTGATTGATTTTACTGCACTGCCATACTGCCACGGAGCCCATAGGCTCTCTGCGTGGTTTACAAAATACCATTTCCCTCAAGAATCCGGTAACTTCAAGTCACTGACTGCATAACTGCAACTCTGTGAAGACGATGCTTCTTCTGCAAAGTTTTCATTTACCCATCTAGGAAACTAGGAAAGGACTCTCCGGGGTGCCTAGAAGAAACTCCGAAAGCGTTTCCAGCTTGTGAAATGTCCAGTTTAAACCTAACTTCTTAAAACATATTTGCTTATAGGTAAGGCAATCCCACTGCCAGGGCTTCCGGTATCTTTATTTCTTTGAATAACTGAGTTCAATAAACACGCATTCACAAACTTAAATAAGAGAAAAAAGAAAAGGTAACGTGGTTTCTTGTGTAAAAAAATAACCTGGTAAGCATACGCTTCTCTTCACTTACTCCAGAGTAGTCCCACTGCGGGAATCGGGACTGCTCCGGAGCTGAGTTGTAGTTCTGCTGCCGCACTTGCTAAGTGGTGTCCCAACCAGCTGGGCCCCCCCAAATCTACGGCATACACCTGGGAGTAACGCCTGCTGATTTCAAGGGAACTTACATCTAAGTTGCAGGGGTAAGCTGCACTCTCTTATGGGCTTACTTGGAAGTCAAGTCCGTAGAAATACAGGGCATTCTTCTTGGTCCGCAAGGAAATATTCCCTGGAGAAAGACGTTCTCCACAGGAGTAGATCGAAACGGGATCGCCTGGAATGTTGGCGCTGTGGCTCAACTACTTCGGGGATCGGAGCTCTGAAGGACTGGACGCCTGAGAGGAGGGGGACCTGCCTCGACCGGATGGACCAAGTTCGCCCGAAGGTTCCCAAGCAGAAGTCCCCCCGCCCCCCCCGCGCGCCCAGCATTCGTTTATTTCACCGCGGCAGGCATCGATTTTCGGCCAGCCGCCCCGCGGCCGCCGCACGCTCAGCGCCTGGCACTGGCCAGAGCGAGCAAGTGCAAAAAGTGCGCGCCGCCCCGTCTAACTTTCCCGAGAGACACGCTCTTGCGCCCGAGAGGACAGCTCCCCTCCCGCGCACCGGCCGCACGGCTGCCCCGCGCGGAGAAGCTGCGGACTGCGGCGCGCAGACATGCGCGGCCCCCGGTGGGCGCCCCCCGCGCCCGCGAGGACGGGGCTCTCCTTCCATGGGCGCCGCTTGAGCAGGGCCAGGAGGGGAGAGGAGCAGCTGGCGAGGGCGATCGTGCTGGGAGCGGTGCCCGCGCCTCCCCTCGCCCCCGCCTGCCCCCTCCCCTCCCCGCAACGCGGGGCTCGATCCCGGCCTTGCGGGGCGAGGCAGGCGGGCGCGGAGGTTCCGCCCCACCAGACGACGGCAGGGAGAACCGCGGAGGGCCTGCCCGCCCCCGCGACCGCCTCGCCTCGCCTCGCCTCCTTTCATTAGCGGCTTGCCATATGTACAAACCAGTGACCCAAAGATTAGCAGGAGAGGAAACGCGCCAAGGAGGAATTAATTACTACACGCGAGTAATAAAAAGTGGGAAGCAGAGGGCGGGCGGGCGGGAGGCAAGTTGTAACCAACGAGGAAGCTCAGATTGCTCCTGCTATCAAAGGAGGGATGAAAGAAAGCAGAGCTGCCCGTGGCTGGGACTGCGTCCAGTCAGTTTCACCTTGGCTCCCGGCCTCCCGCTGTTTCCTACTATTCCGGAGAGGGAGAGAGAAGAGCGCGATTTACTTCCAGGGAGAGGGGATCGCGGCAGGCCGGCGCTGTTCCCTGAGGGGCACGTGCGCGCCAGATCCCCTTCCCGCCCGGATGCGTGCCTTGGCAAGGAGAGAGGCCGCGCCGGCAGCGCATCCCTGCGCACGCATCCCGAGAGAAAGCGGGCAACCCAGTGGGGCATCGAGCTGAGCCGCACAAAGGCTGCTCCCGGGTGGCCCAAAGGTAAAGGTTTCCCCGTGACACTAAAGCCCAGTCATGCCTCGCTGCTGGGGGCGGTGCTCATCCGCGTTTGTCCGCAGGCGGTCTCCATGGCCACGGCTAAACACCCGAGGCGCACGGACACGGTTACCTGCCCACCGAAGTGGTGAACCGAAGCGGCCCCTATTTATCTACTTGCATTTGCTGGGACAAAGCACGGCAGCTCACCCCTCGTGTGGATTCGAACTGCCGCCCTTTCCACCAACCGGCCCAGCAGCACAGCAGCTTAAACCACTGCGCCACCCGCAGTCTCACCCAGCGCTGAGTGATCGAGGGCAATCCTACCCAGGCTGAGATAGCCAGAAAGCCTCTCTTTAACTAATGACTGTTCTTCCAAGGTTTCTCTGTGCTTTAAAATGAGTTCCTCTTGTCCTAGCAAGGGTAGGTGGGGTGAAGAATTGTTTTCCTTGCGCAGCGCATGTCCCTAGGAAGCTGGTTGAAGGCAAACGGGGCCATCCCTCCCTCCCTCCTGTCACACACAGAGATGCTTTGGAGCATGGAACGTCTTTGCACACTTCACAGGGGGAAGCTTGTGCATGCAGAGAGGCACCTTGGAAGCCCCTCTGGTTCATTGTGCAGCACTGCTTGTACTTTGAATATTTATAGGAATAAAATCGTTGGGGGAAAATATACCCAAATATAAACAAACTGCACCCAAATCCAACCAACAGATTCTGGGCCCAGCTGAACTCTGTAAAAGGATTAAACACTTGGATTAAAACAAAAATCAATGGGATGTCAGTTGCCTTAGAGAGCTGGAACTCACGCTATGGTGGGTTTGCTTGGTCTTGCTTCTGAAAGAGCCCATGTGGAAGCTTTCTTCAAAGCTGTCAGGGGAAGAGGGGGAAAAAGACAACTCCCTCCCCCCCCGCTTCACAGTGAAGATACACTGTGGGGCAAGCAGCTCCAGGCTCTGTTCAGTTCAAGTTCAAAGATGGCAGCCACATCACCAGTGATAGCAACCCCATCCCCCCCAAAAAAGAAAATATGACTATTTCCTCTGGTTTGGAGCCTTACAGATCAAATCCTCCATCTGTTCTTCCTCTCCCCTCCTGGGATCTAGGAAGATCCTTTACTCCATCCCTACCTCTGTACCTGAAACCCAGATTCTTTAGAATAAGATCCTTCTTTCTAGTCCCAGAGGTTTCCAGATAGGGCTGCTCTTCCCCAAAGTCATGTCCTCCAAATTTATTGAACTGTAAGTCATACCACCACCACGGTAACACCATATGGGGATGATGGGATTTGTAGTCCATGCTGGCCAGTAATGATGGGATACCCAGGTTGCAGGGAAGGCTCTGTGATAT